TAAACATATTGATACATTCGTAATCCGAATTCCTATTAAAAATAAGATGGTAACAATTAAAGAAATTATTTTCAAAGGAACACGATAAATTTTTACACGCAGACACGTAAATATATGTATTATGTGAATAAATTAATAGAGTAAAAAAAAAAAAAAAAAAAAAGTCTAAAGGAAGAATGATTGGATGAATGATTATAAAATGGAAATCGGGCAAAAGCAACCTGACACAATTATACCTTTGATTTACATCCAATCACGACTCCTTCGATACATTTAAGTAAACAAAATCGCCAATCAGGTGTGAAATTTAATAACCTTAATGTTTACTTGTGTATAACTCCTGTGATACGTCCGGAATAAGATAATTTCAACTTTAAAATTGTCAAGTTTTAGATCAACATGTAGAACGAAAGTCTAATTTTGGATAGGCTTTGAAACAACGGAAGGAAATATTATTGGATTAATAAAGTAGTTCGAATAAAAAAAAAAAAAAACATTTGGTTTATATAATCGACTATTTGTAATATTTTTATAACGGAAAATAATTGCAAAAGGAAGGTTGCAATAGGATTAATTGCAATAGGAAGGTTGCAATAGGATTAATTGCAATAGGATAGTTGCAATGGTTGCAATTGGGATAGATGGGAAAGCAAAGGAAACCAAAAAAAGAGCATAGAAGTAATAAAACGGAAAAAGGAACGGGGAATACCTAAAAGAGGAATAGTAGTACACCTAATCATTTAAGACACGTTGCATGCACTTACGGTTATGCACAGCCGAGAATTTCCAAGAAATCTTTTAAAAGACTAGAAAGAGAAAATAAAAAAAAAGAGTGTTAACAATAATAACAAGTATTTCACATTATCACATATAAACGATAATATTTAAGCCAAATTAACATAGATAGATCGACTTTTTTTTTTTTTTTTTTTTCAAGCCTTAATTATAAATAAGTAAACGGTAAGTAGATACTATTTACGTACGTTAAGGATAGTAGGTACGTACGTAAGTACAATATATCAGATATGGGATGTATCTTATATAATTTATGGAACGATTGGCGCATCATACTCACACAAAATCACACAAAAACCGCTCACAAACAAAAATGAGGCGAAGGCACTTAACGGAGGTAAGCAAGGAACCATACGGAGGTGGGAATTATCATAAGAAGGGCGAACACAAAAAAAACAATAATAAAATAATAATAAAATAATGATACGTAATAATAATAATAATAATAATAATAATAAAAGATGATAATAATAACTATTAATAAAAATAATAATAATAATAATAATAATAATAATAATAATAATAATAATAGTAACCTTGTGATGATACTGAATGATAACTGAATGATGATGATACTGAATGATACTGAAAGTTAATTGACAGGTCAGAACAACAAAATGGACGAACTAAGAGTGAAGGTGCAGCGCGCCATGAATATCATGTAGGTCATGTTACCAAGTTACTGAAGTTAGACTATATATTTAGTATCAAAGATTAATACGGCTGTTGATTAACATTAATGACGATATGAGTTTCAAAATTAAATTCACGTACTGCGGCATGAAACATGAGCATGAAACAATAATATCATATGCGGAATCCCCATTGACGTGACGCCCCAACAACAAAATAAATCAACGAGGAGAAAAAAATTTTTTTTATTTTTTTTTAATTGACAAGCAATCACGTAAATTAAATGTAAAGATACCGATAGGGAATAGGACGAATTAAGATATTTTCATTTATTGGGTAAATCATACCGATTAAAAAGATATTTGAGATATACGCTTGAGATATGCTTGAGATATGCTTGAGATGAGATGATGACGGAACCTTGAGCCAAAAAAGAGATCTCGAACCGTGGTTGGGGGGACGGATACGCCAAATCAACAAAAATAAAATACCGGTAGAAAACAATCAATCATATTATAGTATTTTATTATAGTATTAATCATATACTATTTTTTGACACGATATTAGTTGCTATTCCTGGTGGCGCAGAACAAAACATACACAACATAAAACTAATATCATCAAAACATATCTGATATATATAATACAGGAATATAATATCAAACATATCACGGGCTAATTATGTAATTTTTAAGTCACAAAAACAACAAAAGGATAAAAAAAAAAGGAAAGAAAAGAAAAGAAACACCAAAAATATAAATAAAAAAAAAAATAAAAAGATGGATGAAATAAAGAATAAAGTAGTAAATAAAGTAGTAAATAAAGTAGTAAATAAAGACAGGGATAGGTAAAACCCGGTACCAGTGTCAGTCGATACCGATGCGGTGAAAATTTTAAATATGTGGGACATAATATAAAGTTTAGAATACTGTAGGAAGATGAAAGATATTAGATTTGTATTGGTAACACAAAAACATCAACGAATTACAGAATTAGTATAAAGGATGATATGATAAATTTCATTTAGTAGAAGATACCTCATCTGTTTATATTATGCAGTTTGTTTAATCGTATTATGTGCTTGGAGAAAGGCATCGTCAGACAAAGGCAGGCTTTTTTTTTTTATCTAATTTAATCATACTATTTGATCTTCACATATAAGCAAGGAATAAGGTAAGTGCAACTTTCCTAACTTGGTAAGAAAAAAAATTCAATCGGAACATCAAAAATCACTTATAGTTGATTTATTATAGTAGAATTATTCTTTTAAATATTGTTATTTATTCTAGAATGGCTAATCACAAGACAGATGATAGGTGTATCATTCTGTGTGAAAGTTTTTTTTGTACAATAGAAAGATATGTATGAGATAATAAAAAAGTAAATTTTGATTGGATGTGATGGATTTTTGAATTGTTAAAATGTATAAGATGTGGAGAATTGTTAATTCTTGGTCAACACGTATCAACTTTATAAAAACATTAAATAGAAATTAAGCTAATAAGGAAATCGCGAATGGGTACACTATGTGTCATATGTAAATTCCGTTAAGCGTGTCAAACAATTAGATAATTGATAAAAACAAAAAGGAGTATGTGAATGTGTGAAGTATGTGATGAATAAATATGTTTTTAAAAAATGTGTATATTGATTGAATGTGTGTATGTTGAATGTACGGTGTGTGGTGAATACAGAATACAGATTACAGATTACAGACTACAGACTACAGACTACACGGATATAGACTACAGATATAGACTACGGAATATCGAATACATATAGTGAATACAGATAGTGAATACAGATTATACAGATTATACAGATTGTATAGATTGTATTCGCCTTCGAATTTAGATGCGGCTGCGCGTGGAAATCTAAAGAACGATTGGTCGATTCTTTTTATAATCATCTAATAATCGTCATCATGAACTTGTACTATTACTATTTCTGCCGAATGTTGCTGAGTGCCCCGTCAATGTCATCAGCCTTATGATATTTACGAAATTTTTATGATATTTATGAATGATATTTAATGATATTTATGAATGATATTTATGAATGATATTTATGATATTTACGATATTTTATGATATTTATGACACTTAGGATACTTAGGATATAATAATTATATAAACATGAAATAAACATGAACCATGAAAGAAACGTGAAATAAACAAGGCGTAACTTTTTTATTTTTTAATAACATTCGAGAAAGACAAGAATTACAAAGAACAGGAAAGATTTTTCATCGACAAAAAAGTTATTAATCTGTTAACTAAATTCATAAAACTATTAAAACTGGTTTTCTATTTTTTTTTCTATTGTTTTTTTTTATACAACCGACACCCGATATCCGATGGTCCGACAATAAACACATTTTATAATACGGCGAAACACGGCGAAACACTAAAGAAAGTATTTATAATTATTCTTTTTGTTTACTTTTTAACTCGTATTAATATAAATAACAATCAACGTCAATATGAAATTATAATCTACATCATTCTACACAAAAATCTATTGAGTGAGTCATCATCTACGATATCTTTAATGAATACTACTGTATCTGTATTCTGTATTTTGTATTGATATATAAAGTAAAATAAACTTTCTTTTTATATTAAAACCGGTTTTGAGTTAGTATAAAAAAGTATAATTATTAAGACATCCATCATTTACATTTATATCATTCTTCCTATCAGCATTTTAGTATTATTATAAATATGTACGGCATTCCATTTTTATGTGTGTAATAGTTAAAAAAAGATACACGAGACGCTATTATTAATATATTATTTACTATAATTTTCTATATAATAAAATATTTTATATATATATATATATATATATATATATACTGTATCTGTGTCTGTATCTGTATATGTGTACAAATACATATATATATATATATATATAAATATATATATAAATATATATAAAATATATGAAGACACACACATATATATACGTATATTATAATAATAATTATATATATTATAATATTATTATTATTATTATATTATCATATGTATTTATTTTATAATATATCATTTTCTTTTTTATATGCTTTTAAACTATAAATCGATCAACAACGTTCTTCAATTGTATCAATATAAATTGCTTCAAAGGTCACAAATAAATATCCGACAGATACTTACTTCAGATATTTATTTCAAATACTTACTTCATATACTTATTTCAACCATACATCTCCCCCACCTTTTTTAAACTAAGATCACATAATATATAAAAAAAAAAAAAAAAAAAAAAAAAAAAAAAAAAAGAGTGATTGACTTAGTGAAAAAAACCTTATAAACCGCCAAATTTTTTGGTCTTTCCATCACAACAAAAAAAAAAAAAAATATATATATATATATAAATTTTTTTTTCTTGCTTATTTTTTGAAGAGACAAGCGGCTTATATAACTTTCGGCAGTTTAGCAATTTTTCTTCTTTTATAAAATAATTGAAAAACTTTTTGAACAATTTTTTACTTTGAAATTATATATCTTGTAAAAAATTGAGCGCGGTAAACTTTCACACGCCATTTACTTCATTAATTATAAAAAATTATGTATTTAACCACCACGCTTGCGTCTCTGCCCGCTACTTCTTCGAATTTTTCTTCACTTCAAACCATAAATTTACAGCGAAAACCGTTACCGCCTCTACCAAATAATTTACAACAAACTGATCAATTTTCTTCTCAAAAATCTACTTCAATGCAATTTTATTCTCAAAACAATGTTACTACAACAACTATTACTACTACATCAACTCCAATAATAATACATGATTCTTCTTCGTTAGAACAAGCTCTTCCAGAACGCGTTTCGGATTTCGCAGCTCATATGACTTGCTTCTTGTGGTTTGGTGATTATATCATGGATTCTTCTTCGATAATACCTCCCCCAGGTGGGAATGGTCACAGAAGGTTTCCTGATTTTAAACCGAGAGACGCGTTCAAGAAGTTTTGTCGTGATGTTATTTCGGCCACTCAAGTCTCGCGATCGGTCATTCACTTATCGTTATTATATATTCATAGAATGAAGATAAACAATCCTGCGATTAAAGGTCAAAATGGTTCTGAATATAGAACTTTTACTGTGGCTTTAATGTTGGCAAATAAATTTTTGGACGACAATACTTATACCAATAAAACTTGGTCTGAAGTAACTAATATACCTGTATCTGAAATAAATACTATGGAAATGGAATTTTTGGGTTCTTTGAATTATCAATTATATGTTTCAGAGAAACAATATTTCGATTGGGTTCAAAATTTATCAACTTACTTTCGAATTGGCGATAATAACCTACATGATGATGATAATTCTTCTCCTGATGGTACTATTTCTATTTCTCAACAACAACAATCTTCTCAGCAACAACAACAGTATATTCCTGTTCAACATCAACAAATTCTTGTTCCTGTTCAATCAATGGCAACTGGTTTTAAACGGTCAGCCGAGCAAGCTTTTGTAGATGGAATGATGGTTTCACCTCCAAAAAGAGCTAATGTTTATCCTGTATATTCAGTTCAACCATCACAACAACAATCTCAACAAGTTTATGCTCAAACTATAGCATATCCAACTCCTCCATCCAGTGCTTCAAGTTCTCGACGAGTTTCCGCCTATTACAATATACCGACAACTTCTTCAAATTCATCTAACATGGTATATTCCAGTCATTCATCACAACAATCTTACGAAGTAAGACAAACTTATACCAATGTTGCTGTTAGAAATACTCAACCACAATATACTGTTATGGATCCAGTTGGTGTGTTCTATGCAACAAGGCGTGTTCAATCTAATCTTATCAATGCTCGGTCTGCTTCTTCAGGTTTTCCGGTAAATAATATATCATTTACTACAACCGTAGTATGATCTGATTGAATATGATAAATGTAGTCGAATATATCTGAATATATCTGAAATATATTTGAAATTAGAGGAATATAATATATATATGATGGATGAAGAATGTAGAGATTGAATGTGACAGAAATCTGAACAATAATTACTTTGCAAAAGAAAAAAAAAAAATTCAAAATTTTTTTTTTTTTTTCGTGTTTATAGCTCAATTTCAATTGTAAAGGCGTTTATTAGATGGCGCAAATTTTTTTCGTATACAAAGCTTTTTCTTGTATGTACAGTTTTTTTTTTCTTAGACATTTTTTTTTCTTTTTTTTACTATTGCATTTGTATTGTAGTTTTAGCATATTTCCATTCTTTCCTTTTTTTTTTTCTTTACATGGCAAACATCCATATACAACATATATACATAAACTTAGATTAGTAGTCATTTAATGGCAATAATTTTTGCGTTTAATACAACAAATTTTCGCAAAAAAAAAAAAAAAAAAGAAAAAAAAAAAAACCGAAGCCATTAATTAGTTTTATTCAATTAGTATTTAGTACAGCTTTTATTAGTACTTTTCTCGATAAACATAAATTTTTTCTTATGCTTTTTAATCCATTTGACATGAGAAACCAACACCCCTAAGATATAATATATATATATATATATATATATATAAATACAGTATTTCCATATATTTTTTTATGGAATCGTAAATTTTACACAATAAAGTTAAAAGAGAATCAAAAAACAAACTTATTTTTGTTTTTAAAAAAAAAAAAACTTTTTCAAATGAGTTTTCGAAAAAAGTATATTAAGTAAATGATGTGTAAACAGATTTTAGATTTCTCTAATAGATTTCTAAATAGATAGATTTCTAATAGATTTCTAAGGGGCTAATAAATTCCCGATTGTACAAAACAAATTTATAAAATTACAAGTTTTTTTTCTACATACAAAGGGGATAAAATGGAGAAGAGGCGCGTGCTTACTATATAGAAAAGAAAAAAAAATTGGGGGTAAGTCATTTACTCATTCTTTATCATGTTATCATGTTTTCATGTTATCATGTTTTCATGTTATCATGTTATCATGTTATCATATGTGGGACACTTTACTTTCGTGATTTAATTGATTGGTGAAAGGTAAAATTAGCTTGTCGAATCGTATGTACGAAGATCGAGAAAAAAAAACGAGATGTTTGCAGTGATATTCCAAATACATATTTTACATATTGGTTAACATTAGACTTACATCATCATATAAACAAAAATATTGTAAATTAAGAATGATAAAGTACGCATATAAACCTTTTATGGATATCTTAAAAGGATTCGAGAACATGATCAGGTTTTTTCAACTACTTTGAACAAAGAAAATTATAAAGGATGAACAACCAACTATTTTGACTGACTGTTTCTCGTACATATTGGAACGCGTCTTAAAGGTTAACCAAAAGTTTATAAAAAGGTTAGAAATCTGATGATCATTAACATTGGCGCAGCGATTGTTTACGTTTAGTCACGTGTAAATATATATAATATAGTATAAGTGAATGAAGTTGTATGCCAAGAATAATAACGATTAAAAATTTTTTTTGATAATCAAATGAACCAATAATATTTCAAGTTATAACATCCAGTATAATTCATGTTTATTTTTGAAAGCCATCATAGGGTACGTAACGACAATGAATAGTACGTACGCCTGTCCTCGAAATGAATAAGAAGGAAAGCCAGTTTAGGACGCTTTTCATTGAAAGAAACATTACAATGATACACATACATACAAACCCGAAACACTTACTAACTCGCTATAACGGTTTTTTTCTTTTTCTCACATTTTCTCACATTTCCTTTTTTTATTTTTTGGTCTTTGTTTTTTTTTTTTTTCATTCTGAATTTAACACGATCGACAAGATTCCTTTCTCGTTCAATATTATAATATACTGTAATATAGGGAATGACTTTTTTACTAACACTAAACCCGCAGCCAAATAACCAACTAAACCAACTAGTAGCCAATTGTAGCCAATTGTAGTCAATTGGTAATCAATTATCAGTTTTAATTATCGGTAAATTGGGAGGTCAATGAGTGTAAGTGTAATTCATTCAATGAAATTCAATGAGTAATCAAATTAGCCCGCCATTTTTATCCTAAGCCACTCGGTTTCACGCTGTTGAATTAATTTCCACAATGCAATTCTAATAATATCAAAATTTTTTTGAATTGTAATGGTAAAAAGTAAGTAGGACAATATATATAAATATTATTTATAATTACATCAAGACACATTTCATTCTCGCATTCATAAGATTTTAAAGGCAATTTATACATTCCTTATCCGAGTCATCACCGAGTCAATACGGAATTTTGAAATAAAAGTTCTCCTTTGATACTTTATCAGGTTAGTACGAAATTTAAACATGTTTTTTTTATATACAAAGTCTTATGAAAATAATACAAATTTAATTTTTTTTTTTTTTATTATTATTATTATTATTTTTTATAAGTATTAGATATCGGATTCTAAAAATCAAGATTGCGCCCTTTGTTACACTAATGTTTTGTTTCCGAGATTTAAAAGTCGTGGAATGAGCTAAACCGTTCCTAATTTGAGAAAATGCTTTTGTTTGTGGCAAAGTACCGAATTTCCGCTTTCTCGGGCTTGCTTGTTACATGTCATACACATATTATATAATATAATAAATATATATATATATATATAATATCAAATATACATATATATATAATTTTTAATACATATATATATATTAAATAGATGAAGATCTATATTTACGAGTTGATGGTACATTACCGGAATTGGAAAACCAGCAATTTTTTTTTTTTCATTATTAATCTACAAAGAGTTAAAAGAGTTCGAGATAAGTATGACGTAGAATTGCACGGGAATGATTTACGCGTATATTAAAATAAGTAATTGGTGGAATCTTTTACTGTATCAAATTCTGACCAATTAGTATCTTTCATTATCTTCATTATCTTCATTGAGGGTTAAATAATAATAACATAATAATAATGATGATAATGATAAAATATTTTGATAAATATTGTAATAATATCACGATACAAACAAGTGACTAAATTTAATAGATGATTCTTGTTTCATTGTATCATGAGACGAAAGTTTTTTTTTTCTACAATAGTTACATTGTGATTAAAAATAGTTTTATGTTTGAAATACTCATATAACTGATTTTCTATATACTATTTCAGACTAATTCCAACTTTAGACTAACTTTGGGTAGTTTCAAGCCACATCATAACATACGATAGAATTATAACAATCGTTACGCCTGAAATTGATGCACATGAAGTTTGATGGCTTTCTTTTTGTTTCATCTAACGCTAACACTAACACCAACACCAACACTAACACTAACACTAACACTAACACTAACGCTATAACATTAACAATTAATACAACTAATATTATAATTCTGTAGTCCTGTAGTGCGAATAATAGAATTCAAAGGCTATCGCTATGACAGTATGATGTCAAGCAAGCATAAATCAATGATTATTTTAGTAATTTAAATAGTTCTCTAATCAATTCAGAAATCACATGATAATGAGGCGTGATTTTTTTTTCATATTTGTAAACAATTCGGTTTTTTCTCATACCCGATATAACTGTATGATACATTCGGAATCCTTGTTTATTGTAAAAATGTAAAAAACAAAAACAATTGTTTTTTCGAAAAAGAAACCGGAAAAAAGTAAAGCATGACGTACAACCCTTGCATAATTATTATTTTTTTTGGAAAGTATATTCTAAAAAAAAACCACGAGATTTCAATATTGCTACTGCGCATCGTTTAGCTCATGGTTCCACCAATCATTTCAAATTCCGGTTTTATAACTAGATCTTTGGTTAGATCTGTAACCATGATTTTCGACCGAAATACGGAATGTATGGTACGGATACGCCGGCCGATAAAAAGATTTTCACATCTTTTAGCTCGTTTTAATCTTTCATATTAAAATTGAACGACTAAACAAATCACGATATCGATATTTACATCTTACGATATACAAATATTTCAAAATATACAAAATATTCAAAAATATTCAAAAATATTCAAATATCAAATTATACACTCGGTTACTTACGCACGCACGCCTTTCGTGTCTTATCTTTTTAGGATAAAAAAAAAATTTTTTCCTTTTGTTTAATATTCACCTTATAGCTGCAGGATCCCTTCCGGTTACACTCGTTTCGAAGCTAAGGTTATCCAATAGATTTACATAATAAAAAAAAAAGGAAGATCATTTTACAAAATGGCGTTATCATCGTTATCATACATCTTATTAACATGTGTTGCGCATTACATTTTTAGATTGTCAGTCTTGTCCAAGGGAATTTGATCAAAGTTTACCTTTGAAATCTTAAGTTTTACCTTAATCATAATATTCTGATACGAGTTTACAACGCCCTTTGTTATTACGACATTCTCTCCTTTTTAATCCTTTATTAGAGTTATGCGTCAATTGATAGAAATAATATTACATTATCTATTATTCATCTTTTTGACGGCGACATGGCGCTCTTAGGCTATATTGGCAAAAATTAATATGAATTATATTGTAATTGTTTACTTTTTCTGCAAGCATCACAAGCTTTTTCGTTGTCTTTTTAAATTTTATACCCATACACACGCACACGGCATCTCACAAAGATAGTAGATGGTTCCATATCGAGAATTTCTTTTTAACCCCTACACACTAAGCTAATTTTAAATCTGGTTTTGTCCTACATCTCCTATGAAAGATTTTATTACCCCGCGTACTATCAATATCTATCACAGCCACTTTTTTTTATTTATCACCTTTTTTTTTTTTTTTTTTTTTTCTAATACAGTATTTTGACAAACACGAGGTCATGCCACGAGACTAAAAAAATTCACCCTTGGCTAATTTGATGTACTTACCATTATGTTACTATTGTCCTTTTTTTGTGTTTCTTATTGTTGTTTTTATCTCAACAAAGACGCAACAACAAATA